GCGCAGGAGCCATGGGCGCTGGGCAGCAGGCACCGCACGGGGTAGGCTGGGTGGAAGGAGACGGTGTAAGGAGGCTGCCCCTCCCCAGCCTCAGAGGCCGGGCTCTTGCCAGTTCACAGGACACGTCTACAGTCTGCTGGGCCCTGGCTGGCCCTGGGACACAGGACACTCGCACCAGGGTCTCTCTTCTGCCCAGACCTGGCCAAGGCTGGGGCCACAGGTCTAGAACCTTCCAGGAGGTCAGGACTGGGGCCCCTTGGGTGGACTCCCACCCCTGGGTGCACCCACAGAGCACCCCCAGCGCTTGGCTCCTGACATGACCCTGCCCCAGCCCAGAGCCGCCCCAGCCTGCTCCATCATCCCACGTTCTGATGTGGCCCCAGCTGCCTGCCCCAGTGCCTGGCCCCCACGAGCCCTGATCACCAGCCTGGCTTCTGAGGTTCCCAGAAGGGTCCCCAACAGCACACCCAGGCATCTTGTGCTCAGCCTCAGTGACCCCCTGGGTCCCTACCTTCCTTCTGGGACTCACCTCACTGGCCCCTGACACCCCCGACAGGCTAGGGCACTTCTGTCCAGCCCAGCATGGAGTACCCTGCACTGTCTCTGCCTGGCGGGGGGGCTGCCTCCTGGGAGCACAACACACCTCCCTTCCCTTGGGCTCCCACCTACGACGCTCCCCAGCTCCCACAGCACGTGCATTGTTGGGTACAGGAGCCATCTGGCCTGCACGTAGCAGTGCTCAGCAATCACTGGTGGAAGAAGTGTGTGTAAGTGCGCCGGTGGGAAGGCCTGCAGCTCTGGGTGAGGACAGTGGGACCAGAGGCACCCCAGGAAGGAAGAGAAGGGGCGTCTACTCACGGTAGCTGGGTTGGCCCACACAGCCTTCCCCCAGGGCGCCAGCAGCAGGGGACACATTGTCATAGCAACAGCCGAACTGGGAGCCCCGACACTCGCTGGGCTCATTCTGCTGGGCCTGGGGCTGGTGGGCACTGGGGGCCTAGGAGGAAGCCCGGGACCAGGAAGTCAGAATGAGTCTGGCTCTTGGTGGGGCCCTGGGCTGCCTGGAGAGGACAGCAGGGAGAACTGGGCAGAACTGGGAGCCGCAGGTGCATAGCCCCAGCCAGGGGTCAGAGGCCAGGAGGGTGTTGATGGCGCCCAGCCCAGGACCCTTCAAAACCCCCGTGCCCTGGAGATGGTCACATCAGTGGGCTTGCAGGGCCCTCCCTGGACACCGTGTGGGCTTGGAGATGGACTCCTGTCTCTACTGCAAGCCTGCCGCTTACCGTGGAAGCCACGGCCCTCCACCCAGGCCTGCCCGATGTGTTGTCACCGCCGTTAGACCTCATGCAGCCAGCGTGATGGGGTCCCTCCGCCACAGACACCCCGTCGGGGCAGCACCCGTACCTAGGCAGGCATGGCACAGCCCTCCCTCGCTGCCCAGCCCAGACTCCCACCTTCCAGGGACCCCAGCACCCCAGGCTCTGAGGCACCCGCACGGAGTGGCCTGGAAATGCCCCAAGATCGTACAATCGGGGCACTCAGGCCAAATTGTAGGAGGCCTGTTCCTGAGCTCTGCGACTCGCCCCAGCCCCAGGCCCCCACCACCTCTCCTCTCCGACCCTGGCCAGAGGTCAGGGGGCAAGCCACCCAGGCGGTGCCTACCGGCTCTGCTGACAGGAGACCCCAGGGCAGCCTTGCCACTGTGGCCCAAGGGATGCCGTGTGGCCATCAGGGCAGCACCCGTGGGGGCTGTATCTGCAGTCACCAGGCCCTGAGCTGGACCCTGGGGGCAGCCGGTGTGGGGACTGCTGCAGAGAGGGGGCTGGGCCCCGGGCTGACAGACGGGGGTCCTGGTCTCCTCTAGGGTGATCCCAGGAGGAGGGCTGCTCCTGGGCTGTCCCCCACATGTCTCTGGGGTCTACAAAGAGTAAGCAAAAGACACGTCGCTGTGCCACCGGGCTCCCACCACTCTGCCCAGCCAGGCTATCTGCCTGCACCCCCAGACCCTCTCCACTTCGCCGTCCTGGGCCTCTCCTGGCCTCCTCCAGGCCCCATCCTCTCAGAGGTGGCGGGGCCCTGGATGGGGGCCGTAGCCAGCTTCTCACCTGAGGCGGGGGGTTCCTGAGGACCTGAAGACATCTGGGGTTCCCTGGCGTGAGTGTGCACATCCTGCACGCTGGGGACCTCTGCGGGAGCCAAGGCAGCAGTGTGGGTACAGAGGAGAGGAGGGAGGGCCCAACCACAGTCAGCTCTGACCAGCACTGGCCCCACCTGACCATGAAGGCAAGGCCTGGGGGTGCCTCAGCAAAGGACAGTGCAGGACCCGTGGTTTCAGACAGACTCCTGTGTGTCAGAGCCTGCAGTCACACAGCAAAGGATGATGGGAGGAGATGAGTACGCTTTGTCCCCCAGAGGTTCACATGGTGGACATCTGTCCCCAGTGCAATGGTGTGGGGAGGTGGGAGGCCTTCAGGAGGTGTGGTGGTGTGACCCACCGGGATGCGCCTTTGTTAGTTCATTAACGCCACCTCACAAGAGGAGTATCACAGTGTTGCTGTGTCAGGAGCGGGTTAGTTCTTGCAAGTGCCAACTGTTGTAAAAGACGTGGGCTGGGGTAGTGCAGCAGCAGAGCAACTGAACCTGCACAGGAAAGTCCCAGGTTCTCATCCCGGCGCCTCTCTGAGCACATCGGGCTGGCTGAGATGGGGGCTGATCGTGGTGTGAGAACCCATTGGAGGTGTCTGTCTCTCACCAATAGATAAACCAAAAAAATAAATAGGGGCCAGCAGGTGGCACGGTGGTTAAGGTGCCACATCCCACATGGCCGACCATGGTTCGAGTCCTGGGCCTGGCGGCTTGAGCACATGTGTGTGCATGCCCAAAATCCCGAGGGGAGAATAGAGAAGAGATTGTGGCATGCCATCCCTCTAACAGTGACTTCTCACTTTCCCTTTGTCTAGCTCTCTCTGTCTCTCTTCCTCTCCTTGGCATGTGACTCATCCTATAGCAAACTAAAAAATAAATAAAATTTAAAAATCCACATACAACTTCTGACTCCCCCAAAACTTAACTGCTGCTAGCCTACTGTTGACCAGAAGTCTTACCGATAAGTCAATGAAAACATACTCTGTATATTATATATTGTATTCTTAAAATAAGCTGAAGAAAATATTAATAAGAAAATCCTATGCCAGAATACATTTCCAGCTCTGCACTGTGCTTTCCAACACACCTGCCAAAACAATCTATGCGGCCCGGCAGCTCAGGCCTGTGCCATTCGGGTCAACTGTCTGAATAGCTTGGGTCTGGACGACCCTGGTGGACGTGTAGAAAATCTTCCACTGTATTTGTCACAGCCAGGCCTCAATCTGGGGCCAGGCTGACTGAAATTTTCTCCCCAGACTGGTCACCCCTAGACAGTCCCCACAACCTTCTGGTCCTCCATTCGCAGTCCCCTGGCTGGAAATGTCCACCAGCTGTTCCTCTGTCACTTCAAATTTGACCGTCTCTCTGCCAAACCAGCCTGCCGTTGGTTCCCCCTGGAGTGGATCCTCCCTTCCTTCTTCAGGTTTAGGCAGGACTGACCCCGCACACCGTCTGGGCACCAGGCCCTGCTTGACCCTTGCCCTCAGCCACAGTCTCTCTTTGGGTTCCCACAGGCTATGCCCAAGGCTCCTACCTCCCGTCTGTCCCCACCTCACCCTGACCCCTAGGTCTGGCTGGGGCCAGATTTGTCCCTCTAGGTAGTTGGCCCTGAGCTGGACCCTGGGGGCAGCCGGTGTGGGGACTGCTGCAGAGAGGGGGCTGGGTCCCGGGCTGACAGACGGGGGTCCTGGTCTCCTCTAGGGTGATCCCAGGAGGAGGGCTGCTCCTGGGCTGTCCCCCACATGTCTCTGGGGTCTACAAAGAGTAAGCAAAAGACACGTCGCTGTGCCACCGGGCTCCCACCACTCTGCCCAGCCAGGCTATCTGCCTGCACCCCCAGACCCTCTCCACTTCGCCGTCCTGGGCCTCTCCTGGCCTCCTCCAGGCCCCATCCTCTCAGAGGTGGCGGGGCCCTGGATGGGGGCCGTAGCCAGCTTCTCACCTGAGGCGGGGGGTTCCTGAGGACCTGAAGACATCTGGGGTTCCCTGGCGTGAGTGTGCACATCCTGCACGCTGGGGACCTCTGCGGGAGCCAAGGCAGCAGTGTGGGTACAGAGGAGAGGAGGGAGGGCCCAACCACAGTCAGCTCTGACCAGCACTGGCCCCACCTGACCATGAAGGCAAGGCCTGGGGGTGCCTCAGCAAAGGACAGTGCAGGACCCGTGGTTTCAGACAGACTCCTGTGTGTCAGAGCCTGCAGTCACACAGCAAAGGATGATGGGAGGAGATGAGTACGCTTTGTCCCCCAGAGGTTCACATGGTGGACATCTGTCCACAGTGCTATGGTGTGGGGAGGTGGGAGGTCTTCGGTGGGAGGCCTTCAGGAGGTGTGGTGGTGTGACCCACCGGGATGCGCCTTTGTTAGTTCATTAACGCCACCTCACAAGAGGAGTATCACAGTGTTGCTGTGTCAGGAGCGGGTTAGTTCTTGCAAGTGCCAACTGTTGTAAAAGACGTGGGCTGGGGTAGTGCAGCAGCAGAGCAACTGAACCTGCACAGGAAAGTCCCAGGTTCTCATCCCGGCGCCTCTCTGAGCACATCGGGCTGGCTGAGATGGGGGCTGATCGTGGTGTGAGAACCCATTGGAGGTGTCTGTCTCTCACCAATAGATAAACCAAAAAAATAAATAGGGGCCAGCAGGTGGCACGGTGGTTAAGGTGCCACATCCCACATGGCCGACCATGGTTCGAGTCCTGGGCCTGGCGGCTTGAGCACATGTGCATGCATGCCCAAAATCCCGAGGGGAGAATAGAGAAGAGATTGTGGCATGCCATCCCTCTAACAGTGACTTCTCACTTTCCCTTTGTCTAGCTCTCTCTGTCTCTCTTCCTCTCCTTGGCATGTGACTCATCCTATAGCAAACTAAAAAATAAATAAAATTTAAAAATCCACATACAACTTCTGACTCCCCCAAAACTTAACTGCTGCTAGCCTACTGTTGACCAGAAGTCTTACGGATAAGTCAATGAAAACATACTCTGTATATTATATATTGTATTCTTAAAATAAGCTGAAGAAAATATTAATAAGAAAATCCTATGCCAGAATACATTTCCAGCTCTGCACTGTGCTTTCCAACACACCTGCCAAAACAATCTATGCGGCCCGGCAGCTCAGGCCTGTGCCATTCGGGTCAACTGTCTGAATAGCTTGGGTCTGGACGACCCTGGTGGACGTGTAGAAAATCTTCCACTGTATTTGTCACAGCCAGGCCTCAATCTGGGGCCAGGCTGACTGAAATTTTCTCCCCAGACTGGTCACCCCTAGACAGTCCCCACAACCTTCTGGTCCTCCATTCGCAGTCCCCTGGCTGGAAATGTCCACCAGCTGTTCCTCTGTCACCTCAAATTTGACCGTCTCTCTGCCAAACCAGCCTGCCGTTGGTTCCCCCTGGAGTGGATCCTCCCTTCCTTCTTCAGGTTTAGGCAGGACTGACCCCGCACACCGTCTGGGCACCAGGCCCTGCTTCACCCTTGCCCTCAGCCACAGTCTCTCTTTGGGTTCCCACAGGCTATGCCCAAGGCTCCTACCTCCCGTCTGTCCCCACCTCACCCTGACCCACAGGCTGGGGCCAGATTTGTCCCTCTAGGTAGTTCTCATGGGGCTAAATCTGCATGAAGTGCTAAAACTCTACAACTCAAGGTACTAAAAGCTATAGCTCTGGGCTGGCATGGGTAATCATGGTTCAAGTCCCAGACCTGGTGGCTTGCTTTCTTACTTTCTCTCTCTCTCTCTCTCTCTCTGGTGAACACATGTACCCTATAGCAAAATTTAAAAAAATAATAATAAATAAAATTGAATTTAAAAAGAAAAAAGTGAACCAGCAGTTGGTGTAGTGGCTAAGTTGCTGGAACCCCAAGTAGTCGACCGCGGTTCACGTCCCAGACTCGGTGGCTTAAACTCTTGCCTGGCATGTGTGTGTGCATGCCCAAGATCCTGAAAGGAGAATAGAGAAGACGGGATTGCGGCGTGGCCATCCCCCCGGGAGGGTGATTTCTTGCTTTCTGGCTGTCTGTCTTTCTGGCAAGCAAAAACATCCTATAGCAAAAACATCCCCCCAAAAAAAGAAAAAAACTCAAGCTCTACAACTTTCAATGGCTCCCCGGGTCTATTAGGTAAATGGAGACTGAAGCCTGAGGCCTGAAACCCTCCAGCACCCACCCTAGCCTTGATACCCACCTTGATACCCACCCTGCATAGACACTTCCCACCCAGTCCCCTTGATGAGCCACCCCTGAACTGGGGGATTCCCAGAGCTACTGAACATTTAAAATATTGCTAGAGAAACTAGGAAGTGGATTTTAAATTCAATAAACTGCAAATAATGTAATACTAAATTTACAAACTAATATTTAATTCATTAATTGGAAAACACAATTATGTTTAAAACAATTTGAGCATAAATCTACTTTTTCAACTGTTGATTTTATGAAATATGACTATAGATCTAGTCCAGTGAAAATTTAGCACTTGAATTGAGATATGCTGTTAAGTGTAAACAACGCATTGTATTTAGGTTTTTGGTTTTAAGAGAGATTTTTGTAGGACGTGTGCTCTCATAGGAAACAGAGACAGAAAGCGAGAAATCACCCCCCAGAGACGGCCACACCACAATCCCTTCTCCTCCATTCTCCTCTTGGGATCTTGGGCACGCACTCACATGTGCCTGGCGTGAGTTTAAGCCTTCGGGTCTGGGATTCGAACAGTAGCTGACTACATGGGAGTCCAGCAATGTAACCATTATGCCATGTGCTAGTCCCTAGTTTTAAAAAATCGTGTAAAAGAGAATGTAAAATATCTCAACAATACTCTCAGTATACATTTTTTTTTTTTGGAGAGGTTTTTGCTATAGGATGCATGTGCTTGCCAGAAAGGCAGAGAGAGACAGAGAGAGAGAAATCACCCCCCAGGGGGGATGGCCACGCCGCAATCCCTCCTCCTCCATTCTCCTCTCGGGATCTTGGGCACGCACGCACACGCGCCTGGCATGAGTTTAAGCCACCGGGTCTGGGACGCGAACCGTGGTCGACTACATGGGAGTTCAGCGACATAGCCATTATGCTAACTGTTGGTCCCTAGTCTCAGTATACTTATTACATGTTTAAGTTATCGATACTGGGTTAAATATTTATTTTACTTTTCTAAATTGCCAATTGCCAGAAGGCACATGTGTTTGCCAGGGTAAGACGGAGGGAGAAAGCCACTCCCCCAGTGGGGTGTGGTCACGCCACAACCCCTTCTGCTCCACTTCTCCAGCCTATTGGGTTGTGCCCACACGCACACACATGCCCAGTGTGCTTCTCAGGGCCCATATTCTAACCAGGTAGGAGTTGACATACAGACAGCACCCCTACTCCTTGAGAAAACGGCCCTGGGGTGTCAACAAGAGAGGAAGAGAAGACAGAGTGGGGTGTCCACCCTTACTGGGTCTTTCTGGGTCTCCCCGAGTCTGTCCCTCAGTTCACTCCCCTTCCTACAGGGCCCAGGCCAGTATGCACTACGGCATTAGTTACAGGGCCACACACATCAGAAGAGCTCTTGGGACTCCAGAACTGGCCCTCACCCAAGGGAACTGGGCGAGGGGAGCTGTCCATTCCAGGGGTGGTGCTCTTAGGGCTGGGGTGGGTGCCGGAGGGCCTGGCCACCTTCCTCCTGTACTTGGTAGCTGATTCATTCAAGGGGCAGTCGGGGACCTACCGTGCGCTGGGTGAGTGCTGTGGAGGTGGAAAGAGGAGTAAGGGAGTCGCCCTGTACAGTCGGCAGCACAAAGGAACGTGTGAAAAGTGACACAGAAGTGACAACATGCTGTGAGCGATGCTGAGGGGGAAGATGTTCCCGAGTGGGGTTAGTCAGGGCTGGCTCGTGAGCTGCACGCGAGGTGGCCTTTACGGAAGGGTGAAGATGCGGAGGAGTGGCACGGGCTGAGGCCGAGCAGGAAGAGCTTGCTAGGTCTGCACTGAGTGGGAAGAGCTGGGCCAGGCTCCTCCGTCCTTACCCTGAGGAAGATGGCAGGGCTGCGTGTTACAGGGCTCCGCGTCTGCAGGCTTCGACCACTGCAGGCTCCCACAGTGGCTGGGTGGCCCGAGGGCACAGACAACCTGTCGTCTTCGAGTGCCCGAGCTGCAGCTCTTGGAACACTGAGGGCCACAGGCAGGAGTGGAAAAAGAGAGACCCTGAGGCTGGGCTGGGGTCCCCACAAGGTAGAGAGGAAGGGAAGGTGCACAGGGCCACCGGTCAGCTCCAAGGACATGGCTCCTGGACAGTCACCCATCGGGGACCTCAGGAACCAAGGATGGGCAGTAGATTGCAGGTGGCACTCACTAGACCCCAGATGCCAACACGCCAGGCCTGGTCACTGAGGGATGGACAGTCCTCGCGCACACAGGGCTCAGTGAGTGGTGGCTGGTCCTCCAATGAGCATGCCGTGGCATGGAGCAGAGACCCCTCGTCACCCCGGCACATGACACTCCGCCATCGGACGCCGGCACCGCAGCTGACAGAGCACTGCAAGGGCCAGGCTGTCAGCAGGAGCTCACCTTGCCCAGAGGAGCCATGCCAGGCCCCAGGCCCAGGGAGGCTGAGCCACTCCCCTGAAGCCACACAGCCCGAACCAAGGCTGACGCAGGCTAAGGGGCAGTTTTCACATCCCGCAGACTGCTACTTGAGCATGTATGAGGGTCCCCGAAGTAAACTGAAGCCCCAGATGCTGCCCCTGCCTCGCCCTGGACAATGTACCGGCCTTTCCCACCCTGCCCCCGGATCCTGGAGGAGGAAGAGGAAGCCTGGGGGACCTGGAGACCCAGGGACCTGCTTGGCCCCAGCTATGGCCACAGCTCCAAGAGACCTGACGGGTCGCTTTACCTCCCCGGAACAAAGGCTCCAGGGCACCCCCAACCATAACCAGCCCCCGATTCTGCCTCAGCAGCCCCAGCCTGGGCCGCACCTCACCTCTCCCCAGGGCTCTGGGCTCCAGGCTGCGCAGCGCTGCAGGTTGCAGGCCTGGGTGGTCGGTGGCTTCCCGGGAAGGCCAGCACACGCCACCTCCTGGGTGGCTTCCTGGACGCCGGCCCCATCAAACAGGACACAGTAGACAGTGCGGGACTGAGAGCCGCCTCCGCAGGAGGCTGAGCAGGGCGACCAGGGCCCTGTCTTCCAGCTGGCAGGGTACGGGGTTGGGTGAGGTTGACCAGGGGCAGAGACTCACACAGGGAGCCGACCAGGAGCCGGCAGGTGTCATGGTGGTTAAAGTGCTGGATTCACGCAGGGAGCTGGCCAAGGACCTGCTCCTGCCCCTCAGCACCAGCCTATGTGGTGGGGCCAAAGCAGGAAGGTGGAGGCAGGCCTCAGCTGTCCCCACCACCCTGGGCGGGCTCTGTGGCAGCGACCTTCTGACTTGGAGCCTGGTTGCCTCCCCCTCAGCTCTCCTGTCCCCACCCTGAGTCCCCTTTCTCCTCACTAGGTCTCCTATCTCCCCAGTCAGATGGAAGGGGCTGAGCTCACCGCGCAGGGAGCGGCCCTGCCTGGGGCTGGGGTGCACAGACCAGAGCAGAGGACCGCACCCCACACACCATGCGGAGCCAAGCCCACCACCAGTCCTCGAGCCAGCGCCACCAAGGCGGGCTGTGGAAGGAGCTGTACCAGGCCCGGCCACAGGTTACCTGTTCCTACACGCAAGCTGGACCACGGCACGTGCCCCACTCCGGCCGGCGCAGGAATGAGGTCCTTGTGCACGAACAAAGGCAGTGCCCATGCCCACAGGCCCCTGGGGCCCTCTCTGGCCCACCTGCAGCATCTGAGAGCCAAGTCCTGGCCGGCTCACATAGACAGGGCCCTCGGGTACCTTGCCCAGCCCTCCTGTCCCCAGCCCAGACAGCACTGCCCGGGCACATGGGGGTAGAGAGAGCAGCCCGGGCCTTAATCTCAGGGCCCTCATGGCCTCCTCTGGTGACAGCTGCCACCCCACACTGGCCACAGCTGCAGGAAGCTGGGGCTCTCCCATCTGCTTGCTCTCCCCTTACAGCAGTCCAGGGGGCCCACCCCTCCCCACCCAAGTTCTTGGGCCCACCAGGGTAGAGAGGCTGGCCAGGGCCTCACCGCTTGGCATGTGGGCAGGGATGAGGGTTACAGGAGCGGTGGGCAGCCGGCCGTGGTTGGTGCTGGCACATGTGGTCAGGGTAGGCCTCGTTGTCGATGGTGCAGAACACCAGGCGGGACTGGTGACCTGCAGAGTCCCACCCAGGCGGCAGCCAGTCAATCACCATTCACCCAGGGCATTCTCCAGGCCAGGTGCCATGCTAGACACACCCCACTGTCGTCTCAGTTAAGTCACCAACCACGCCCCCATGGGAGGTGCCACCGTCATCCCTGAGGTACAGAAGAGGACATGGAGACTCACAGAGTGTTAGCTGTGAGTGCCAGGGCCCTGCTCGGACACCTGGTCATCAGCTGCTCATCAGCCCCAGCCTGGCCGCTGTTCCAATAGAGTCCTGTCTCCCAGGAGATGCTGCTGCCCCCGGAAGCCCTCCCTGGGTTCACCTAGCTGAGGTCAGGGTCATGGAGTCGCCCAGGACCCCTGGTCTCTCTCAAGGCAACCTCATGCCATGGGGATTTCTGTCCTGCTTGTCCGTTGCCCCCCACAGCCTGCCTCTGGGAAAGGTGCCCACCCCCCCCCAGGGCTGCCCACATGTTCACCTCCACCACACTCGGCGCTGCAGTCCCTCCACGAGCCGTGGCTCCAGCTGAAGCCGGGACGGGGGCTGCCCAACGGCAGGTAGTACTCGTAGTGCACCCCCGGGTTGGGCTCCTGGCTGATGAGCTGCCACAAGGTGGCCCGTCAAGGTCCACGGGGTGCCACCTACTGTTGGCTGGCCTCGGGCCAAGACCTCCCCCACACACTCCTCGTGCAGGACCTGGTAGCCTCCCAGGGATCAGGTGCCACCACTCACCTCGACAACCAGGGGCTCTGAGGTGGGGCCCCGGGCCTGCAGCCGCTCAGGGGCCAGGTCCCCCTCAGTGCCCCGCTCGTACTGCAGGATGGTGCTGGCCACCGGGAGGGCCCCAGCTGCCTCAATGGTCCAGTGCCCGTTGAGGTAGTATTCCCCGTGAACGTTCTTCACGGCTACACATGGGACAGGGTGGGATAGCCAGGGTCAGTGGAGCAGGGGGACAGCCCAGGTCAGTGGGGTGGGGACACCACACCATGCGGATGCTGGTGGCCCCCGGGGGAACAATAAGGATCTGGTTGTAGCCTGATGGGCCAGAGAGACAGGAGGTGGGGGGCAGAGTGCGGGCCATCCTCCCCACACCTCCCCGACCACCAAAGGAGCTCCCTGGGGGGGGTCCTCACTGCCTATGACACAGCCAGGATCGGGGAGGGGTACACAGGCTAGGCTGCTCGGACTGTTCCCAGCAGAGGAAACAACTCTACAAAGGAAGAAGGGGGGACGGGGGCAGCCGAGGGAGGAGACGGGGACGGGGGCAGTGAGACATTGGAACAGGTGAGTGGGCCAGGTCCCCACTGGCGCGGGGACATGGGGGGGGGCTCCTGCAAAGAGTACAGCCTCTGCCTTCTGGCCATGGGGGGCCTAGCCACAACCTGAGCCAATCAAACCTTCTAGGTGCCATGAGGGCCAACAGGCCTGAAGCCTGGGCCAGAGGGCAGACAGCAAGGAGGGCGCTGACAGACCTGCCTGGACCATGCAGACCCTGGAAGCCCCATGCTTCCCCCTCTGAGACCCCACCTCTTTGGAGGTCATTGGCGTCAAAGGTGCCCGAGACAGGGTAGCAGGCTGTGCCGTCACCCCCACACCGCAGACACTTGTCCTCCTGCTTTGCCGAGTCTAGCTCGTGGTCACAGCCCACAGCCTGCCAGGCGGAGGTGAGGGAGAGATGGGAGAGCAGAGGGCGTCATGGACACGCCGAGATTCCATCCCGGTCGGCCCGTCCCTGACGTGGTACCTCTGCAGTCCAGGCAGGGCAGGGGCGATGGGGGAGGCTTCAACAGCAAGCCAGGGGTGTCTGAGTCAGCCTCGGATCTGGTCTGTGGGTGCCCACCATCCCATCTGTCTCTAGCACCCGTCTCCCTGTCTCTGGCAACACCCTATTTTCCTGCAGAAGCCAGCTCTGGCCCACAGTTTGAATGGAGCTCCTCAAATGTGGGCAAATCAGTGGGTGACACCCCTCACTCAAGGTGAGCCCCAAGTCAGGACCAATCAGAGGCAACAGCAGGCGGCTGAACTGTGGGCACCAGGCCCCCTTTCCCTGGAGTTGCCAGGCTGGGATGGCAGAAGCATGCAGCTGCTGGCCACCACCTTCCTGCCTCACAGGAAGAGCTGACCCGATGCTGAGCCTGACGCTGACCCCGAGGAGAATATGGCCAAGGCAAGGGAGCGCATTCCTCGCAGCATTGGCCAAGCACTGCAGCACCCCTCCATGGCTACTCTGCTAAAGGTAGTCCTGGCCAGGTCCGGGACGTGCCACCCAGAGGGTTCCTCCTGAGGGGCTGGTGTGCTCAAAGGGCAGAGGAAGGACACCATGGCATCTCTGGAGGATGCAGGGCTCCCCAGGAGCTAGGCTGGGTGTCCTGGTAACTTGAGAAGACACCCAGTTCATGGCAGGCACTTGGCCCTGATAGTGGCCACAGGCAGACACCTGCAGTAGGCCCTCAGCCAGCTCGGGGGTGGGGGCCGGGGAGGGGGCAACTCACCCGGCAGCTGCCCTCCACACAGACGTCCCGTTTGCCAGGCTCACAGGGCGTCCCGTCCACCACGGCCTCCCTGTGCTTGTAGTAGAAGTTCTCCCCCTTGGGAATGCAGTTCAGTGCACACTTGTTTGGGGCTGAAGTGAGCAAGAGGGGGAGCCGAGCGCCCAGGGTCAGTGACGCCTCCACCCCTCCGGCCCACGGTTATCCCAGCCAGAGTGGTGCGTGGACAGGAGCCAATGGCACACAAATGGCTGGAGAGAAAGTCCTGGCAGCAACCCCCCAAGTGGCACAGAATCTCTGCCTCACCCCAGGGAGAAGCCACTGCATCTCTGGGGATCAAGGTGAAGAAAAAACCCCAGAATATGGAGAAAACTATACACTTAAAAAGGACCACTTCCACATTATTTATGATCATTTAGAAACATTAACAAACTACTCTTCAAATAAATTGGTTATTGAGCCAACTCCCTAGCCTGGTAGTTAAGACAACCAGATCCCAGCTGACTGTGTGGTTCAAGTCCTGGACCCAGCGGCTTGAGAAACCAGGCACATGTTCGTGTGTTCCCAAACTTTCTAAAGGAGGGAGACATGGAGGGGCAAGAATTGTGGTGTGACCATTCCCCAAGGGGGGTACTTTCTCATGTCTCTTGAGTGCACACACACTCTTAGCAAAAACGAACTAAGTAAGTGAGTTATTGGTGGAATGTTATGCACGTTGACTATGTAGTTGAAATGAATATGAAGACCGTGCAGTAAAGTGGGAAGATGCTTAATACGTCTCCACCCTTAAGCTGGCCCTGAGACTCAGGAGAGCTCCAGACTTGTATCAGGAACCCTTCCGGATGCAATGCCCTCTGAGTACGCATTTACCACTGTGCCACCATCTGGCTCCTTACTTTACTTTTAAAAATATAGTTTAAAATTTTATTTATGTATTATTATTTTTTAAAGAATTATTTTATTCAGCTTTATTTATTTTAATTTAACCAGAGAGGAACAGAGCAAGAGAAAGAGAGAGAAAGAAAGAAGGAAAGTGAGAAAGCAAGCCACCAGATCCGGGACCAGAACCGTGGTCGGCTATGTGAGAGTCCAGCATCCCTAACCACCATGCCACCTGCCAGCCCATATTTATGTATTGCTATTAAATTTGCTATAGGGCACATATGTTCACCAGAGAGAGAAGGAAAGTGAGAAAGCCAGCCTCCAGTCCAGGACTCAAAGAGCACTCAGCCGTGTAGAGTCTAGCCCCCCGGCTCCCCCCCCCCCGAACTTACTTTTAACATACGTCCTGCTCAGGATCCAGGAGCACTGAATGCCAAGGGCTCCCCTGGGGCCGCTCCCACTGGCCAAGGTCCCTCCCCCAATACATGACATAAATGTTGGTTGATTTGGAATGTGGAGTGCCTTGGAGTTTCCAGGAGTCATTGCAGGAAGCAGTAAAAACATACTCAGATTATCCACCCGGGTATTATCCTAATGAGTATTATCTACTGTTACTTCTGACTCATCTAAGATGTTTTACTTACATGCTAGTGTTTGTTTCCTGAACTGTACCCCTAAAAATGAATGATCTACACTTTCCTCAACTCCCTGCAGAGCAGCAGGACCATCACATGGCTCAAAGTAGCACAGATCGCCATAGCTTTGTTTGAAAATGCTATCTACATGGGGTGGGGGGAGTGTGCTGGAACCTCTAGTGAACAACTGCCATTGTTGTGCTGTGATAGGCACAATGCTGGGGCACTGGTGATCTTTAAAAATAAATTTGATGATGGGCTGGCAGGTGGCATAGTGGTTAAGGGTGCTGAATTCTCACATGGCCAACTGTGGTTCGAGTCCCAGACCTGGTGGCTTGTTCTCTCGCTTTTCCTTTCTCTTTGGTGTAATTGAAAAAAAATAATAATATGAAATGGAATTAAATTAAATAATGAATAATTCTTTTTTTTTTTTGAGAGGTTTTTGCTATAGAGCACGTGCACTCGCCAGAGAGAGAGAGAGACAGAGAGATAGAAAGCAAGAAATCACCCCCCAGGGGGATGGCCATGCTGCAATCCCTTCTCCTCCATTCTCCTCTCGGGATCCTGGACACGCACGCACACGCGCCCGGCATGAGTTTCAAGCCACCGGGTCCGGGACACGAACCGCGGTTGACTACATGGGAGTCCAGCGACATAGCCATTACGCTAACTGCTGGTTCCCAAGAATAATTCTTTAAAAATTTTTTTTGATGAAACCAGCAGATGGCATAATTGTTACTACATCACTGGACTCCATGTAGTCGACCGTAGTTCGAATCCTGGACCTGGCGGCTTAAAATTCATGTCGGGTACATGTGCATGCATGCCCAAAAATTCTAAGAGAAGAATGGAGGAGAAGGAGAAGGGATTGCAGAATGACCATTCCCCGCTGGGGGCTCATTTCTCCTCGCTTTCTGCCTGTCTCTCTCTGTCTCTCTGGCAAGCACATGTGCCCTATAGAAAAAAAAAAGTCTCTCTTAAAAAAAATGGGACCAGCTGGCATAATGGCTATGTCGCTGGATTCTCATATAGTCAACCACAGTTCGAGTCCCAGACCCGGTGGTTTGAACTCACACCAGGCATGTGTGCATAAGTGCCCAAGATCCCAAGAGGAGAATGGAGGAGAGAGGAGAATTTATATATATATATATATATATATGATGGGGGCAGTGCGATGGTTAAGGCACTGGACTCCCTACATGGCCAACCACGGTTCAAGTCCTAGACCTTATGGCTCAAAAATCACACCGGGCTTGTGTGCTTGCATGCCCATAAATCCCAGGAGAATGGACAAGGGATTTTGGCTGGCCACCTCCCCTGGGAGGCTGGGAGGTGATTTCTCACTTTTCCTCTGATGAGTGCAGGTGTCCTATGGCAAAAGCCTAACAACTGTCTGTCTATTCATTTAATATTTGATCAGCCCAGCAGGTGGCTTAGAGGTTGAGACAACTTCACAGCTCCCGCTGGCCTGACTTGAAAATCACGCCAGGCGTCTGTACCAGGTGCCCAAAATCCGGAGAGAAGACCAGAGAAGGGGTGAGCTGTGGTCATCTCCCCGGGGATGATTTCTATGTCTTCTCCAGCGAGTACGTGCACCCTGTAGCAAAAACTAAATAATAATAAGATATACACATGGGGCCGGCAGGTGGCCTGGTGGTCAAGGGCACTGGACTCCCATATAGCAGTTCGAGTCCTGGACTGCCAACTTGCTTTCTCACTTTCCCTCTCTCTCTCTCTCTCTCACTCTGTCCCTCCTTGGTCAAATTAAAATAAATAAATAAAGGTAAATAAAATAATTCTTTAAAAATGCATATAGCCATATTTCATCAAGCACCTATAGGATGGTAGTGAGAACTGTGAAGTCACCGTATACAATAGATCCCCTCAAGAGGTGGCCAGGATGGCAACGCCAGGGCCCAGGCGGCAGGGACTCGGCTCAGCCCCGAGAGGTGACCCATCGCCCCACACCACCCCTGCTGTACTTACCGCCATAGTAGGGCAGCCACCTGTACCGTCGGCCCTGGAACTCCACGCCATCGAACTCCGCGCACTGCTCCGCTCGGAAGTCCCGGGCGCCATCGGGGCAACTCTGCGGGGCAGGAGGGGAATATGGATCCAAAAGCTGACTGCGCTGGCCCGGGCGAGGAGGTGGAAGTGCAGGGTTTTGCTCACAGTCCCCCCCTCCACCCCGTCAGGTGGGGAGGGCAGGGGAGTAGGGATGGAAGGGATGGGGGGTGGACCCAGAGGTCCTCCAATTCCTGCCCCCACCGGCTTTCTGTGCCCAATGCTCAGTCTACCTCCTGCACCCCCACCCCGCTTCGTCCTAGCCCAGAAGGCCGGTCCGGCCCCAGGATCCCTGGGCGCCCCCCTCCAGGGTGCTTTGAGCTGTGGAGGGCGAGGTGAGGGGTGAGGAAGGGGCTGCCAGTGCAGCCCTGCTCGGAAACCGGCAGGTGGGCGCCTGGAGGGTGGACTGGGAGGCTGGTGGCCAGGGGAGGAGCGCGTGCCCCCCACGGGCTTTACCTCCACGCGGCAGGAGCGGTGGTTCCTGGCGGGGCCCACGCAGCTGGAGCCTCCATCTCTCCTGCGGGAGTTGAGCATCGGGAAGACCCAGGCCCCTGGACCCCACATCCCCGCCCCGGTTCCTGGGGCTTGCCTGCTGCTGCCCGGTCTGTGAGGCTCTCGGGTGGGCCACCGTGCCCCAGAGGGGCAGCAGGGTGAGGAGGGGCTGCCTGCACACATCAGTCCCTCGGGCAGGTGTAATTCACCCCCCCTTCCTACTTGGGAGAAGTAAGACTGAGGAGCCGACTACGCTGTGGTTCGCTCAACCCCCACGGCTCAGCGTCCTACCCCCACTTCAGAGGGACGTAAGCTCTGCCCTGGGAGAGAAGATCGGCGCTCACCCACCTGGCGAGGTGAGTACCCGAACACAAGGCCCTTGAGAATAATGAACAGGCCCCTGAAAGGAGGCCTCTACTCCTCCTTCTTTTGCACCCACCCCCTCTGGGGAACCAAGCGGAGTGCAGAGCCGGAAGTAAGCGCTTAGCGAACCCCCTGAAGTGGGAAGCTACCTGACAGAGCCCTGCCGGCTAAGAAGCCGCAGGAGTAAGGCCCGGCTGAAGCCTTGGTCAGCTCAGGGGGTGCGAGATGCTGCACCGGCTGCCACGGGCTCTGCGGTAGGAGCCAGAGACCCAGAGGGGCGGGGAGGCGGCTCCTCCGAAATGAGGCTGATCGTGGGGTGAGCGTGCGGGAAATGATCTGATTTCTGTACTCGACTTCTGCTGCTTCGAGAATGAGCCGTAACTCAGCGGCCAGCCCCCCTTCCTCCTGCCCTCTGAGCGAGCAGGTCCATGTTGACTCCCCTACCTCTGGGAGTAGCAGGGGCGCTCCCGAAAGCTGATGCCCCCTCCGCAGGTCCGGCTGCAGGGGCTCCACTCACCCCAGGGGCCCCAGGTATCACTCTGACGCTTCACGTTAGGAACCTGGAAAAGATGACAGGCTCCAAAACCTGAGTCAGCATCAGGCTCAGAGAGCCTGAGCAGGGCGCGTCTCACCCCAAGGGGACAGGCCTAGGCTTCCTGGGGGACCTTCTGCCTAAAAACACTCCCTGGCCCTTTAAGCTCTAGCGACTCCACCAGGCACCCCAAAACACAATCATTTACACAATTAGCCAGCTTTCATTAAAGAGAACTGGAAGCCAGGCCTAGAGTCTGGAGTTCTAGGGGCCACCTGGGGAAGGGACCCGGTGGGCAGGGGCAGTGTGAGGGCACAGGCATCTGTGAGTCCCCACTGATGTGGGGGAGAAGGCCTTGAAAGGAAGCAACCGAAGTGATACAGGCCAGGCCCACCCCCTCACTTGGCGGTAGTTTTCTCATCTGTCCAAGCAGCCACCCCCAGCGCCATCTCCTGAGCTCCCGCCAATTTGCCAGGAAGGTTGGGAGACCAGACTGCCAAGCTGCAGGTGGAGAGTTCTCCCCCTCCCAGCGATGAACTCTGGCCAGTGCAGTCTGGTTTGAGACAAGATGTCTGCAAAGCATCCCTTGAATGAAGCGCGTGCATCACCAGAGGCTTTCTGAGATACAGACACGAAAAGGGCCAGAAGAACGGGCATGTCCCTGTAGGTGAGGCCCCATCACTGCAGGGAATGTGGCCTGTGGGAGCGCCAGGCAGCGCCAAGGGCTAGAGTGGAAAAGACACACCCAGCTTGGTTGTGCCCCATGTGGTTGTGCCCCAGTTCTGGAAGTCTCTGTAGCTCTGGCCTTTTCAACCAGGAACTTAATAGAATCCTCTGTGTGAGTAGAGGGGGTGGGTCGTGGTCTCTTCCTGTCAGTCTGTGGCAGAGGCTTCCAGAAGACTTCGATACCAGTCTCCACTTCTCCCATTGTTTTTTAGCATTCACCACAGAGAAAGATGGAGAAAGAGAGAGAGGAGCGAAAGAAATACCCCCAGCGGGATGCTGTCACGGAGCAGCCCTTTCTCCATCCCGTTGGAATCATGCATAAGTGCCTGGTGTGTTTTTCAACCCGGGGGTCAGGGGTCAGGGGTCAGGATTTGACCTGTATTCATCCATGTGGACTCTAGCCCCTTACCCACTAGGCTATGGGGCTGCCATCCCCCCTTCTCCCATTGTGAGAGAACCCTTGAAAAAAATGGACTGTTGGGACCAGCAGTTGGCATAATGACTATGTCGCTGGACTCCCACGTAGTCGACCGTGGTTCAAGTCCCGAACCCAGTGGCTTAAACTCACGCCGGGCACGTGTGCGTGTGTGCCCAAGATCCCGAGAGGAGAATGAAGGAGAAGGGATTGTGGCGTGGCCATCCCCCCTTGGGGGGGGGGCGTTTCTCACTTTCTGTCTCTCTGTCTCTCTCTGTCTTTCTAGTGAGCACATGTGACCTATAGCAAAAACTTCTCCAAAAAAACTCAAAAGGACTGTTAGCTGGGTACCTGGCTCTCTAAATTAACAGAATACATTCCCCAGACTTCCTTCAGCTAACTGTGGCTACCTTGCTAGGTTCTCATCAATGAGATGTAAGTGTTGAGCAACAGCCTCTAGTAACCTCCCCAAGAGATAGTTTGCAGTTGCTATTTGTCCTTCTTCCTCCTATACTCCTTTCTCTGGCTGGAAAGCAGATGTGATGGCTGGAGTTGGAGCAGCCTTATAGACTATGAAGTAACTTAGAAACAGAGGTTGCAAACAGTGAAACAGGATAGAAGGCTCCTAGCTTGGAGGACTTTGGGATAGACCAACTCTGGATTTCCACCGTGGGTGTTTATGTGAGAAGGGGATTAAGTCCATCTTGCTGAAGGACTATTATTTTGACTCCACAACAGAAATATAATCCTGTCGGATATAGTTTCCCACCAGGAAGATCTGATGCTTTGCAGCTGGTTTCAAAAGTCTGTGCCACACATGTACTTTACAATTTAATACTCAGAACAATCCCATGGCCCCATTGCATGGATAAAAAAGTGAGGCGGGGGAACCAGCAGTTAGCGTAATGGCTATGTTGCTGGACTCCCACGTAGTCGACCGCGGTTCACGTCCTAGACCTTGAAGCTTAATACTCACACCAGGCATGTGTGCATGGTAGACAGCTGTTAGACCTGGTTTTTGCCAGGAGGCAGACTGTGTACTGAAAGCTGTGTCCCATTTGCTGGAAGGGGAGCTTATTTTAAGGTGCCACCACACAGGAATGTCGTGAAGACATCACTCCATTTTGTAGAGAAATAAGTCAAATGGTAATGTGGAAAGCAAGCTTTGGGGCCGGCCTGTGGCCTTGTGGTTATGGAAGCTTGCCCTTGTTTAGAGCAGAACCCTGAACCAGAATGAGCCACACGAAACTAGCTGACCACACACAGAACCAAGAGGGAAGGACTGGTCAGACCAAAGGTCTTCACTTCACCTTTTAAATCATCTACTGCTTCGGTTCCAAGTGGGACAGTCCCCAGGCTTTCAAGCCAGCAAACCAAAATAGCCAAGTGTTCTCAATGAAATTTAAACCAAAATGTGCTTGGATCACGTTTCTCATTTAAAAAGGAAGCTACTGGGGCCGGCAGATGGCATGGTGGTTAAGGGCGCTGGACTCCCACATAGCTGACCACAGTTTGAGTCCCGGACCTGGTGGCTTGCTTTCTCATTTCTTCTCTCTTTTTCTGTGTCTCTCTCTGTCTTTCACTGTGTCCCTCTCTGGTCAAATTAAAATAAATAGGAGATCAGCAGGTGGCATGGCGGTTGGAGTGCTAGACATTCCCACATGGCCGACCACAGTTTGAGTCCCGGACCTGGTGGCTTGCTTTCTCATTTCTTCTCTCTTTTTCTGTGTCTCTCTCTGGCCAAATGAAAAACTAAATGAATGAATAAATAAAATTATTATTTATTTTTAGAGAAGCTTTTGCTATAGAACGCTTGCACTCGCCAGAAAGACAGAGAGAGACACAGAGACAGGAAGTGAGAAATCACACCCCAGGGGGGATGGCCATGCCGCAATCCCTTCTCCTCCATTTTCCTCCTGGGATCTTGGGCACACACACACACACACACACACACACGTGCCTAGCGTGTGTTTAAGCCACCGGGTCCAGGACTCGACCCGCGGTCGACTACATGGGAGTCCAGCGACATAGCCATTACGTTAACTGCTGGTCCCAATAAATAAAATTTTTAAAATTTAAAATAAATAAAGTTAAATAAAATAAATATTTAAAAAACAAATTAAAAGGAAGCTATTGAGTTTTGGGGCTCAGGGGTGACTTTCCAGGGACAACCGGCAGCCCAGGCTGGATTCTGACCACCACCACCCCTCCACACACACGCACAGCATCGTCATGCTATAAGGACTCAGGGAGCGGCCCTCAAGGAGCTGTTGCTTTCTCTGCCTGCCAGCCTGGGCCTGATCACTAATTTTTCCCTGCCCAACTTCTGTCTGGATGTTTGTCTGGGCTCCTCAGCACAACAACAGGCACCTCCCCAAACCCGCCCTTCCCTGGGGCTAGGATGGGCTGTGCTGATGTGACCCAGGCAATGATGGGTACCCCTCCACGGAGCCCTGTGGCTGTGAGGATGAGGGGAGGGGGAAAGCAGGGCCGTCCATGGGCTGAGCCATGGCCAGGCAGCTTATGAACATCCTGCTGTTTCCTGCCCCCAGCGCTGGGGGGGCCATGCCCACTTGCCCAAGGCCACCCTGTGGGCGGGACTGAGGAGGCCTAGTATGTCTGAATCTGTCTGAGCCCGACTCTGCCCACTGGTCCAAACAGCCTTCCGAGGAAGGAAAACACATTCCGTCACGAGCAGCACGTGCACATTTCGTTTCTCTGTAATTACCCGAACCACGAACACCACCATGGAGGGAAGCCAGAGGAGCCGATCCAGCCAGCCTCACCTGGGCCTGTCCTCGCCTGTCTCCTGCTGTTGTCAGCACCCCACCCCGACACCTCCAGCTCCCACCTGGAGCAATCAGGAGCCCCGTTCCTGCTACACTTTGCCAGGGGAGTCAGTTGCCCAACACGCGTGCACATGTGTGTGCGTGCTCATGTGCACACACACAAGGGAGAGAACAAGCGAGCACACACTCGTACAAGCACCTGCGCGGGTAGGAGTGGACACTGAGGCAAGGCCTTTAATTATCTATGAAGGGTCTTTTAAAAGTTTGTGGAAAAAGCATATTATGAAAAACTATGCATGAAGGAGCCAGCAGGTGGCGTGGTGGCTAAAGGTGCTGGGTTCCCACATGCCTGACAAGGGTTCAAGTCCCGGGCCTGATGTCTTGCTTTCTCACTTTCCCTTTCTCTCTCTCTTTCTGTCTCTCTCTGATCAAATTAAAGAAATAATAATAACAAGTGGAACCAAATAAATAAATAATTCTCTAAAAATAAAACAACTATGCATGGATTTCAAATTTTTTTTTGCACCAAAAAACTTGTACTTTAATTCCATTTTCTTTTTCTTCTTCTCTTTTTTTTTTTTTTTTTTGAGGGGTTTTTGCTTTATTTTGTTTTTCAGAGAGAGAGCTTTACTATAGGGTGTGCGCACTCGCCAGAGAGACAGAGAGACAGAAAGGGAGAAATCACCCCCCCAAAGAGGATGGCCACGCTGCAATCCCTTCTCCTCCATCCTCCTCTCTGGATCTTGGGCACACACGCACATGCACCTGATGTGAGTTTAAGCCACCGGATCCAGGACTCAAACCACAGTCGACTACGTGGGAGTCCAGTGACATAGCCATTACATCAACTGCTGGTCCCTTTAATTCCATTTTCACCAGAAAGTTTTAAAGTCCCTTTGTACTCATTCACCACTGATAAGGATCCCAAGAAGAGGCTCAGACCCTGGATGGATCCTGCCCCTAGCTAGAACCAGAAATGGAGACAGCTGAGCTGTGAGCCTGGGTCACGCCCTTCCACCAGGTGTGGCAGGAGAGGGGACAGGGGAGACGGCTCTCATTCTGAGCCACTCCCATCCCACCTGGGAGTACGACTAGCAAGAGAGGCTATTCCAGGTGCTTCTAAGAGAGAAAGGACCTGCTAGGTCCCAGGGCTTTGGGAACTTGGGTCTGCTTCAGCTGCGCGTCCACCACAGGCGGGCATTATGCCCCAAACTGGGGGACTCGGCTTGGTGATTTGCTTACGTGCAGCTGACACAGGTGGCTTGGGTTTCATAACAGGGTCCTGACCCAGTCATGGTGGCCTTTCCACCCAGGCTTTGGCCTTCACGTTGCTGGGCACCAGCTCGCTGAAGAACCTCAGAGTGTGGCATTTGGGGAGCAAGGTCCAAGGGGTGGCAAAGGTGTCCATGGGAAGGTGGCAGGTGGAGGAGGGGACAAGAGGAAGGATGACTGTAGCCACTCTGACCCTGGCCTGTGTTGGAAGCCTGGGGCTCTTGGAGGATGCCCAGTGCCCACCCTGCCTGCCCGACACAGTGCTTCAGAAGAGCCCTTCTCATCCTCGGCCCACCTCGCAGAGGTAGCAGGACCTCTGGTCTTTTCTCAGGGGCCCTTCCTCTCTCACTGCCTGCCTGCCTCCCCAAGGAAGCTGCAGGCCTGGCTGCCTCTGCACCCTCTACTCTGCCAGGCACCAAGCAGGACAGCACCCTGCAGCCCTCTCTCCCACAGGCAGGCCCTGCGGTCTGGAAGTTTCCCAATATATTCTTAGAGAGCCCTGTCCTGGGGCCCCTGTTAATGAAACAGCTAGCTCCTGGGTCTGCTCTCTAAATTTGCAGCAGCACTGTAGCCACTCACACATGGCCATTTAAATTTAAGTGAATAAATTAAATTGGGGCTGGCAGGTGGATGGTGGTTAAGGGCACTGAACTCCCACATGGTCGCCTGTTGTTCGAGTCCTGGACCTGGCAGCTTGCTTTCTCACTTTACCTCTCTCTCTCTCTCTGGTCAAATTTAAATGGATGAATAAATTAATAAAGTTAAATAAAAATGGTTCTAAAAAAAAAAGAAAAATTAAATTAAATGAAAAGTCACTTCCTCAGCAGCAGGTGGTCACATGCTCAGTAGCCACCTGGCCTGGTGGGTACCCACGGGAGGGTAGATATCCAGAATGTTTCTGTCATCACAGGAGGTCCCACCCGGCAGTCTGGCCTAGATGCTAAACCCCAGGCTTGGACACGGAGGGCACTCCACACCTCTAGCCAAACCATCCAGCCCAGGGGCAGTTTTGTTGCAGCAGGTGGCAGGTGGGATGGGCCACCTAGTCCCGCACCTTGGTCCCAGCACTGCCCCCACCTGTCCTTGAAAGGTCTCTGGGGGAGAGGTTCCCGGCATTAGCCAGGACTCCACGCAGTGCACCGCCACCTTCTGAACGCAGGAGACGTCGTCGCCCCAGCACACCGCGCCCTGCCTGAGTTCTGGGCACCCTGGCAGTGGCGCTGAGGTCCCAGCCCTATCTGCAGGAGCTTAGGGTAGACTCTCCTCTTCCCACCCGACTTCCCGGACATCGCCCCTCTCCTGGGAGGCCTCCTGGGCCGGTGGGCTCCAGCTCGCCACAGGGTCCTCCCTCGAAGCGGGCAGGGTCACACTCACCGAGGACGTGGGAGTCGGGGCCAGCAGCAGGGGCGCCAGCAGGAGCAGTCGTAGCCGCATCTCCGCCCGCGCCTGCGGGGGAGGCCGCGGGTAGCGCCGGG